GGGCCCAAATACTCTCAAAGTTCTGTGTTCTCACTGATGTGGGCATCCTCTCCTCTGGTGAAGATTACAACCCTTCCACATCCTCCTATTTTGTGTGGTTCTTGCTCACACTCTCCCCAACAACAAAGAAGATAAATATGCTGGCCCCCGAGTCTCCTCTGCTCCTGGTACAGCCTGCCTGGTTGATCTTTGTTGGCACCATCCCCACCATCTTGGTGGCCCACATCTGGATCCCCACCAGCTGACCAGTGTCCTTGCTAAAATGACGGTGCCCCAACCTGAAATTCACACCCTGAGGTGGTCTGACCAAGGCAGAGATCGAAGACATGACCAGCCTCCTCACTCTGGACAACAGGCCCCTCCCAGTGCCACCTCGGACAACACTGGCCACATCACAGTTCATTTCCACCGAGGTCTGCAGTCGCCCTAACACCCAGATCTTCTGTCCATGGCAAAAGGTTTAACTACAGCTCCCTGTCTTGGACATGCAAAGGTGATTTTATTTTTAATCTCAAATGTAAGACTGTGAATTAATCTCTGCTCAATTTCCCCTCATTCACGTTAGCCTTTTCTGAGATCTGTTTTAATTCCTGTGTCAGCCAGTGTTTCTCCCAGTGATGGGCCACTGAAAATTTGATGACCGTGCCAGCTACAAGTTTATCCAAGTCATTGATTAAAAAAGTTAATCATTTCAAGACCAGTCACATCACCTATCAATGCCCCACTAACCCTTGAAGTCTACTGATTATCTGCCCTGGGGACCAGAGTTTTGTTCCTGGGAGTTCCCCACTTGAATGAAATCATAGATCTGGACCTAAAAGAGAAGATTGAGTTCTTCCCAAAGAGAACTCTCTCAAGAGAACCCATTTCTTCGAAGACCCATCCTTCCCAGCACCCCAGAGCCAGCAGGTGCTGGGTAAAGATAAAAGGAACAAGGTCCAGTAGAGTGATCAGAGCTTCTGAGTTTCCCTTCTCCAGGGTCTTTTTTCACAGTCAGGAGGCAGGACGCTTCATCCATAGGGACTATAAGGTTTCGAACAGCTCCAAAAAACGCCTTCTAAACTCTAAGGCAGCCTGCAGGTGGTCAATAAAACCAGGGGATGCAAGGTCTCTGGGCTGGTCTCATTGCTGGATACCTCTGTGTACAGGTCTGAGTTCCTATGCTGTCCTTGTGTGTTGGGCTGGCCTGCAAGCTGCCTGAGGCCTTAGGCACAGGAACAGGGCTGGTGGTGACGATTCTGTCACAAAGTTAGTAACAGCATCTTTTGAGTCCTGCCTGTATCAGAAGTGGGAGCACTCTTGTTGACTGAGATTGGGGGACCCTGGCAGAGAATGCTAGAATTTGCTCCCCAGCTGGGATGCCCTCATCCCCTCACCAGCCTGTCTTGTCTCCTGGACAAAGGTAATCCCAAAGGTCTGTTGTTTTTTTCCTAAGGGGTATATCTGACCATGTCACATTAATAGCCCCCTCGTGCCCCAAGATCAAATATAAACTCCTCTGTTCATCATTTGAAGTCTTTCTGGGCCATCTCCTCCTCCCTGCAAATGGGGGGCCTCAGGCTCTAATGCCGAGTGAGAAGCAGGCTCTTGGGGGTGGGGGCGCAGCCCTGCTGTCTGTCCAAGGCCCTTGGCATAAGGGGAGTGTTTGCCTCTCCTGCCTTCCCTCCACCCAACCATCCAGACTGGTTTCCAGCTCTTGGGAGGGGCTCCTCAGACTTCTAATCAATAATTCTCCTGGGCTATGTAAAATGTTCCAACCAACAAGTGATTCAGGGCCTGGAAGCAAATGACTGAGGAGCATCGGGTCCAAAACGCATGAACTGTTGGGGTAAATGACACACCCTTTAACCCTGGACGTATGGAACAAAATACGGCTGTGGCAGTAATCACAGAATCAGGAATCTCTGAGCCAAAAGAGGCCTTGAGGACATCTCAACTTACCCAAGCGTGAAGCCCCCAAAACATTCCTAATCAGTAAGCAATTATCCAGCTGTGGCCCTGGATTTCACAACTCTGAAATGCCTTTATCTAATCATAATCTTTTATCTTTTCATCCCTCCCATCCTTTACTCTGAAAGCTCTTTAGCCCCACTGTGGTCTCTACTCCCTCCCTCCTTCCGCACTATCTATGGAAGGCCATCGCTCTCACTCTGGCTAGAGCCCTTCCCCATCTCAACCCCTTGGCTAATCTACACTGACCTCTATTCCTGAATGCCTTGTTCCTTTTTCCTACTGCTAATCACGCCTTGCCAATCCCCAAACCTGGCTAAACCCCACCCTCTGCCTTCTTCCTTCCTACTCACATTCTACTGAATGGAACTGGAGGAAATTACAAAGCTGTGTTGACTTGGGGTCCGCTACAGATTTCTACGGTGAATTTCAATGCTGCAAGGCCATCCTTCTCCTCCTTCCTAATCGATTCACTTCAGTCGTTTTTCAGTCGCGTCTGACTCTTCATGACCCCATCTAGGGCCACTGAAATCCAGTTCAAGTGCAAGTCAAGACATCATCCTCATGATGTCATGGGTTCTCTTTGAGAATGGAGGATTACAATTGGTTCACTATCCTACCCACCACAGTGACTGTCCCAAACGTGCTCTTTCCTCCTCAAGCTGTCCACCCCCACACTGAGCTGAGGACCTCACCTCCTGACACGCTGAGAGGAATGAAGGAATCTGCTGAGAGCTCCCTCTACTCCTGCTCCCCAGCTCACATCACTCGGACGTCCCCTCCACGATTTCCTCCTTCCCTCTCGTCTCTGCTGAAGAAGAAGCCACCCTTCTCCTCACACACATTCCATCCCGTCTTAGTTGCCAAAACCAACAGTCTTTTCTCAATCCTCATTCTTCTTTTTTTGGGGGGAGGCACTTGGGGTTACGTGACTTGCCCAGGGTCACACAGCCAATAAGCATCCTCATCCTTCTTGACCTCTCTGGACCCTCTGACATTGTCAATCACCCTCTTCTCCTGGATACTCTCTTCTCTCCTGGATTTTGTCAAACCGCTCCCTTCTCATTCTCCTTCTTCCAGGCTGGCCCATCCTTCTCAGTCTTTTTGGCTAGATCTTCATCCAAATCACATCCCTTAACTGGGCTGTCCCTTAAGGCTCTGTCCTGGGCCTTCTTTTCTCTTTATACCATCTCACTTGCTATAAAGTGGCTTCATCAGTTTCCAGGGGTTCGATTATTATCTCTACACAAATAATTCCCAGATCTTTCTAACCAGCCCTAACTTCTGTCCTGAGCTACATCCCCACATCTCCAACTGACTCTTCAATATCTTGAACTAGATGTCTCACTGGTATCTCAAACTCAAAATGCCCCACACAGAATTCATTACTTCCTCACCCTCCCACTCCCCACACACACATATACACACAATCCACCCTTTCTCTGGTCAGGCAATGGACATTTATTAAGCTCCTACTAAGTGCTAAGTGCTAGAAATACAAGGAAAGGCCAAAGATGGCCCCTGCCATCAAGGAGCTCACGGTCTTAAGCGGGGAAACACCTGCAAATAACTACATGCTCTATGTAGGATAAATTGGAAATTATCAGCAGAGGGAAAGAGTGACATTAAGGGGGAAGCAGGAAAGGCTTCCTATAAAAGGAGGGATTTTAGCTGGGACTTGAAGGAAGCCAGGAGCTGCAGATGAGGAGGGAGGGCATTCCTGGCATGGGGGAGGCCCAGGGAAAATGCCCAAAGCTGAGAGACAGAGGGTCTTGTGAGAAGCAGCCAGGAAGCCAGGGTCACTAGCTCCCAGAATGCATTGGAAGGGTAAGGTTTAAGAAGACTTTGTAAGACTGGAAAGGTTAGAGGGGAGGGAAGGAAATAGGCCAAGGGTGGGGAATCTGAAATGGGCAATGAAGGGCTTTAAAAAGCAAGGCGAGGATCCTGCAGGTGGGTGGCAGGTGACCTCAGGTGACATGGTCAGACCCGGACGTTAGGAAAATCCCTTTGGTGGCTGAGTGGAGGAAGGACTGGAGAGGGGAGAGACTGAGGCAGGTGGACCCACCAGGGCTACGGCAATAGTCCAGGTGTGAGGCAAGGAGGTTCTTCACTGGAGTGTGAGCAGTGACCAAGGAGAGGAGGGGGCTTTGAGAGATGCTGACAAGGTGAAGCGGACAGGCCTTGGCCACAGCGTGGTCACGGGGGAGAAGCCAGACAGAAAGATTCAGGAGGATTCCTGGGTTTTAAGCCTGAGGACCTGGCATGGTGGTGATGACCTCTGCAGAAATAGCGAAGGTTGGAAAGTGGGGATCATAACAAGGAAGGCTGAGGGGAGGCGATGAGTCCAGGTGGCGATGGGAGACTGGAGGTCAGCAGAGAGGTTAGGGCTAGATAAGGCAGACCAGCCAGCAGACTATGACAATAGTCCAGGAACAGGCCACAGCATCTCAGATTCCTGGGGCCGGAAGGCAACCTGTCCAACCAACAGCTGGTACCTGAACTGCTTCCACAACACCCCAAGTAAGAATTCACTGAGTCTTTACTTGAAGACCTTCAATGATGGGGAGCTCACTACTTGCTTGAGACATCCTCTTCAATTGTTAGGTAGCTGGGGCCCCCTCGCATTACAGAAGAGGAAACTGAGTCTCAGTCTGACTCTCAGACCACAGCTCTGTCTACATTATCCTGGCACAAACCCAGGGCAGAAAGTGTTGAGAGAGGATTAATCAGGGATGTGGCAAAGAAGGGGTAAAGGGGACATAAAGAGGAATTCTTAAAATTTAGGGACCATGAACTTGTTACTTTAACATTTTGATAGCTATATGTTTATTTAATTGGTTAAGGTGTGTTTTATTTTATACATTTAAAAACATTAATACAAGTGAGCACTTGGAGGTCTGAACACTGATCTCATTAGATCCTCACCACACCCTCTCCCCATTTTCCGAGCTCCCTCTAGAGACAGTCACACGGACAGAGGAAGCTGAAGGGGCCCCGGCCTGGGCACCTGCTGCTTCTCACAACCCATTCCCAGGAGGGGCGGTCAGTACCTGTTGTCTGAGTGAGTCAGGTTGGCCTGCCCAACGTGGAGGCGTCGCTCACAGGGCATCGGGTGGTCCCGGGGGCCGGGGTTGGCGGCATGAATGAACAGGCTCTGCCGGCAGACGGGGACCGTGCTGTCTGTCATCTCTATGCCCAGCAGGCTCTTCTCCGGGGTCAGGTGACAGTGGCTGTAGCCACCATTCACTAGCAGAAAGAGAGAAAGGGGAGAGAGATGTTTGAGTGGCCACAGGGGGCCCTCGGGAACAAGATGGGGGAGCAGGGGACCAAAAAGAAAGCCCATGGAGGAGGCTCTGAAGGGCCGTCTATCTAGAACCATGAGCCGTCACGATAGCACCCTCCAGATATTGGAAGGAGGAAACGAGAATGTGGGAAAATGACTCTGAAAAACACAAAATCCTCTAGAAATGAGCAGTAGTAATAAGCCTTCACTAGGCAATGTTGATATGTCCCCATCTTCTTAACCCCAATCTGGGGCTCTACATGCTAACAGTCTTTGATCCAAGGTGTTTTCCAGCTCTGCTGGTTATAATGTTTCTATGTTCTAACATTCTATTTTCCAAGGTCCCTCTCAATTATGAAATTCTATGTTCTATTTCGTCCTCAAGATCCATTGGCTCTGAAATTCTGTTTTAAAGTCGTTTTAGCTCTGATCTTCTCTGTCCTAAAGACCCTCTCAGCTCTGACATTCCCTGTTCTAAGGCCCCTTCCCAGCCCTGACATTCCCTGTTCTAAGACCCCTTCAGGCTTTGACATTTCCTGTTCTAAGAACACTCTCAGCTCTGAGTCTCTGTTTTAAGGTCCCTCCCAGCTCTGACATCCCCTGTTCCAAGCTTCCTCCCAGCTCTGACATCCCCTGTTCTAAGCTTTCTCCCAGCTCTGACATTCCCAGTTCTAAGGCCCCTCCCAGCTCTGACATTCCCCTCACTGGCTTCCTTGTTGGCCTTCTCTAACACAACTAGCAATATTCAGCAGGTCTGGGGGCTTGACATAGCGTCAGACAAACATTCCAGGATCAAAGGTGCCTCTGCCCACTTTTTCTAAGTAGATTTAAAAAGCTCAATTGCACAGAGCAAACTCCAGGCCCCAGGATTCAGGAACAAGAGGATTATTCAATAATTAGTTTGAACAATACGGTATTCGCTACGGTAGTTTTCATTACATTGTAAGCTTCTTGAGGGCAGGGACTTTTTTCTTCTGTATTTTTATCCCTAGTTCTTAGTACAGTGTCTGGCACATAGTAGGAGCTTCATAAATGTTTACTGATTGATGACTGACTGACTGATTCTGCCCCCCAAGGATTTAAGTCACCTTATAATATCTGGCTTTGCTTGGCCAAGGAGATTGCTCGGGCTCTGTGGGACGAGCAAAGCTGCAGGAGCAATGGTATGGATGTCTGAAGGCTTACGCAGGGAAGGAGAATGCTCCAGGACCATGACTGGGGTTCCCATCAGGAGATGAGATCTGTGTCTCTAACACAACAAATCAGTGAGACCACAGATCTGAGATCCCGGATGGAAAAGGAGAGCTATCAGAGAATGGCAGAGAAGAGATGACACAGCTCTGAGCTGCCCCCAGACCACCAGGGGACAGTGGCGCATGACGATGACAGAGCTGAGTTCCCCGGGGCCAGGGGGCTGATGACACAAATGTGAGTCACGGGACGGCAGACAGTGGAGGATACATGGTCAAACCTTGACCACCAGGGGAAGGTAACCTAGATCTGAGTCAGCAGACCCCACCACGTGTCCCTTTGGGTCAAATACCCCCAGACTCTGCATCATCGTCTGTTGTTCAGAAGACCAGACTTTGGTCGACCATCCCCTGTGGTCCAGGGACGGCTCTCTGTGTCATCCGCCCTCTTCCATCCAAGGACTCAGAGCTGTGTCATCTGCTCCTTAACCTCTCTTGATCTTCGATTCTCTGTATTGGCTTCTGACATCAACGCCCCACTTAAACGCCCCTCTGTCTCCTCTGCATCTTCATCCTTCGCGGCCTCCCTGGTGCTCCCTCTCTCCTCCTGGTTCTCTCGCCTTCCCTGGCACCGGTCTCTGTCTGGGCTCCCTCCTATTGACCTGACTGCTCCTTTGCGAAGTCGTCATCCATCTCATCTTCCTTAGAGGCGTCTCCCAACGCTCAGCCATGAGAACTCCTCTCAGCTGCACTCTCCCTTGGAGATTTCATCAGTTCCCAGGGGTCTGATGATCGTCTCTCTGCAAACGATTTCTGTTTACAGCCACAATCTGTTCCATATCACCAACTGCCTATGGGGCATTTCAAATCAGGCATCTCAGAGATGGGTCCAAAAACTCATCTTTCCCCCAAGACCTTCTGCTCTTTCCAACTCCCCACTTTCTGTTGAGGTGACCTATAATACAGGTCCTCTTGCTCAGGTTTGCAATACGGATACCATCCGCAATTTCCTTCCCTCCTTCAACTCCCAAGCCTTCCCAATTCTATCTCTAGGAAATCTCTCTCCACTCAAGTTGCCGCCACTCTGGTTCAAGTTTCCATCTCTTCTCAACTAGCCTAGTGCAACAGCCTTCTAATTGGCCTCAAGTGTCTCCTCACTCTAATCCAGCCTCCATGCAGCTGCCAAGGTGAAATTCCTAAAGGGAAGGTCTGACCCTATTGCCCGGAGGCTTAATAAACACAAGAGCCTTCCCATGAGGAGCACAGAATAAAAGATACTCTTCTCTCTGGCATTGAATGCCTTCTTTTACAATCTGACTCCAATTTCTATTTCTATCCTCATTCCACATTCCTCCTCTTCAGGCATTCTAAGGTCCAGCCAAACGGGTCATCTTACTGTTCCTTACAGCCAGAAGTCTATCTCTGGTCTCTGTGTGTTTGCACAGGACTGCTCCCCGTTCCTGGAGGGCATTTCCCTCACACTCTCAGCTTGCCTTATTTCTGTCACAACTCAGCTCAAGGCCCCCTTCCATATGAAGCCTTTCCTGATCCCCAGGCTCCCATTATCTTTCATCTATTTTGTATACAGCTTATAGATACCTACATATGTACATATGTTCTCCTCCAGTAGAATGTAAGACCCTTGAGGGGAGGGATTGTTTCCCTTTGGTCTCTCCATTTCCTGTGCCCAATACAGGAGCCTGACACATAGCAGATACTTAATTAATGCTCCTTAACTGATGAGAGTACCTCAGTATCAGAGGACATAGACATAGATCTGAGTTTCTGGACAACCGAAATTATCACTTTCCATGGTGTTTTACAGATCTCACCTCACTTACCCTAACCAGAACTTTTAAGGGAGGTAGTAACAGGATGATTATCCCCATTTTACAGGTGATGAAACTGAGGCATGGAAAGTTAAAAGAATTCTGTCAGAGATTCCACAAGGAAGCATGGGGTGGAGGCCCAAACCAAGATAGCAGAGTAGAGAAAGTACTCAGCTGAGCTCTCCCAACGACTTTAGAATAACACTTCAAATCAAATTCTGGAGTGGCAGAGCACACAAAAGGTCAGAGTGAGACATTCTCCCAGCCCACGACAATGTAGGAGGTTGGAAGGAGAGATCAGTGACACAGGGGAGGAGGGTGGCCCAGAGTCCATGTGGATGGGACCAGATGGTAGAGACAGAAGCAATAGTCACTTTGGGAGGTCTAAAGGTGGAGAAGGTAAGAGAATCTGGTAACTAATCAAAAAGAGACCGCAGGGGACCCAGCGCTAGCACGGGACCCAGTGCTAGCACAGGACAAAGGACCAGACACTGGCAGCTCCACTGCCTATGCCGACTTCTGGGTCCTAGTTCAAGGGAAGAGAGGAGCACTTTTAGTTAAGAGTGGGAGCCCTGAGGGACAGTATCACTTCTGGTCCCAAGGGAGGAAGAGACTGGAGGAGCAGCATCAATTGCAATCCCAAGGGATGAGGGGCCCTTCCTGGGTAAGGACCAGAGTACAGACAAGAGAGAAGTGACTACATCTATCCCCAGATCATACCCCTTTGGAAGCACCAAACACTTCCAACTGCCCAGAGCTAGCTCTAAAAACAGCAGTGTGAAAAAGCCTGAAGCTTGAGACGGTCCCACCGCATGCTGGGAACAGAGCCCAACATTAACATAAAGTTCCAAATCAAGAAATAGGGTGCAAAAATAAGCAAACAACAGCAACAAAAAGAACCTGACCGGAGAAAGCTACTACGGTGACAGGGAAGATCAAGACACAAACTCAGAAAAAGACAATGAAATCAAAACAGCTACAAGCAAAGCTTCAAAGTAAAAAAGGGAATTGGACACAAGTACAAGAAGAATTCCTGGAAGAGTTAAAAATTATTTTCAAAATTAAAAGTGGTAGAGGAAAAAGTAGGTAAAGAAATGAAAGCAAAGGAAGAAAATTATGAAAAGAAAATTAACAGTCTGGTAAAAAAAAAGGACAAAAATACTTTAGAAAATAATAACTTTAAAAAACAGAATTGGGCAAATAGAAAAGAACTATGAAAATTCACTGGTGAAAATAATTCCTTGAAAACTGAAATTGGAGAAGTGGAAGCTAATGGCTCTATGAGACATCAAGAAACAATAAAATAAAGTTTAAACAAATGGAAGAAAATATGAACTATCTCATTTGAAAAAACAATTGATCTGGAAAATAGATCAGGAAGAGAGGTAATTTGAGAATTATTTGACAACCTGAAAGCCATGATCAAAAAAAGAGCCTAGACAGCCTATTTCAAGAAATTATCAAAGACAACTACCCTGATGTCCTAGAACCAGAGGATAAAATAGAAGCTGAAAGGATCCACCAATCACCTCCTAAAAGAGATCCCACAATGAAAATTGTAAGGAATATTATAGACAAACTCCAAAGCTCCCAGATCAAAGGGGAAACACTTCAAGCAGCTAGAAAGAAACCACTGAAATATTGTGGCGCCGCAGTCAGGATCACACAAGATTTAGCATCCACCATTTTAAAGGAGCAAAAGGCTTGGAATATGATATTCTGGAAGGCAAAAGAGATAGGATTACAACCAAGAACAACCTACCCAGCAAGGGTGAGCATAATCTTTCAAGGGAAAAAATGGATATCTAATTAAATAGGGGACTTTCAAGCATTTCTGATGAAAAAAAATAGAGGTAAATAGAAACTCTGACTTTCAAATAAAAGACTCAAGAGATACATGAGAAGGTAAACACTAAAGAGAAATCATAAGGGACTCAGTAAGAG